AATAAAATTAGATTTTTTGACTTTTGTTTTATTGAATATTCTGGTAGAATGGATTAGACGCTTGGTCAGCCGGCAACACACCCACCTTGTGTCATGATCGGGAAATAACGGAAAAATCCGTCGTCAATTCTGTGTATAAATGGTCGATTAACAATCATCATGAAAAACTTCAGTAAGCATTTGTCTCATTGATTGAATGTATTTGCTGACAAAGTCTTTGTATCGACCATAGAATTTACGAAATGATGACTTTTAACGAGACTGTTAATATTTTTGTTCCATCAACATCTCTGTCAATAATTTAATTTTAGAAATTATTCATACGAAGAGCATCCTCTTGCGTACCGAATCAATGATATATATACACTCTGTATGCAGGTGATGAAGGTATTTTGCTGCATAAGTAAAGAAAGTTGACGATAGAAAATTCAAGAAAATTTTAGTGATATCATACCTCTCACGCTATATTTTTTACAGATGTAACCAGTGTAAGTAATTAAATGTTTCAGTTTCAATGTTTTAATTATTTCTATAATGTGTGTTTACGTTTGTGTTGACATGTGTGAACGTCCACGTGTGAGTGTTTATGTTTGTCAGGTATGAGCATTTCCGGTTTGACTAGTTTCTTTATATTAATAACTTTTCACTAACTTTCCCGCGTCTAACCATATTCACGCACACTCGGCGCTACACCCTTGAAGGGAATAGTCATATCTATCTACAGTAGCTGATTTATATAGTGTGCCTGGTAAATATATTTATTACTTATTCATATTTTATTATATTTGTAATTTAAAAGTAAAGTCAATAAGGATTTGTAAATGTTTATTAATTATAATGACTTTATTTCAGGTTTTTCTTATATTATTACCACCAATAAATTTACTGGTCAAACTACCATTGACTTGATTGTGTCTTGATGTAATAAATGAACCCAAGTATTACCGACATGGTCTACACAGACATTCTCTTGAGTACCAGCAGTAATGTCCTTGATCTTGGATTTAACCTACCTTTTTATAACTAACCGTGACCCTAGCTCCTAAATGGACGATTTTGATCAGAGCTTCTCTGGAATGCCAATATTTTCATTCTATTACTTGAGCCTCAGACTTTGACCTTCTTTTGAAAATAAAAGTTTGCAATAACTTTTGAATGGCTGCTTGTGTGACTTTTATGTTTCACCTGTATATTTTTTTTTTGAAATTCTTTTGCCTTGTTCAGTTTGACATACATTTGGAAATCTCTTACTTTTTTTTAATAATTATTGAACAGTTGCAACTTTTGCGGTTTTTAATTTTCGAAGGCAAACTCATTGCGAGGAATATTTTCTTTGTTAACAAAAATAATCTTTTTCTTGACCTTGGTGTTTGACCTGTACACAACAATATTCATCATACGCTGCATTACGAGAGCTACTTTGTTTCACAAACACAGTTTGAATTTTAATCATTAGTTCGTAAAACTCTTCATATTTATTTAATTACAAAATCCAAGCTGTAGTCTATAAAATATTTTGTTATCTGTAGCAGAGCTTCTTCATCGCATAATAGAGAATCTTGTCTTAACAGATATGTCGATGTTTAATTGGTTTACTTTAAAATTGAATTATTTCTTTTACAGATGTAGTGTAATATTTGCATAGGTGTTTACAGACATATTGATTAAGGCTAGCGAGTTAAGAAAGTTTTATTTGCAAATACAGTTGTAGATATAAAATAACAGCTTTCAGAAAATAATAATGTAATGCTTATAATTTTAAATTTTTTCTTACTCCTTGTCTTCTTTTGCAAATTTGAATCATTTTTTAAATACTGCTATTATCTCTTACTTAAATAATCAATTTAGGTAATTTATAATCCTGTTTTAGCTTAAGGCATTACCCTTGCACGGCATTAAATGTCTCTGACTTCAGAAAAAACCTATATTACATTTTGTGATCTTTTGACCCCTGTCCTTAAACAATGTACTCTCGCTTCTTATTCTCAAATGAAAAAGGTTGTCGCAACTTTCACTTAAGTAACATTATGGTAATTTCTGGTAGACGATACAACGAAAAACCACGAAAAAAATCGGCGGAGAGACTCTATCCAAAAAAGTTACTTTAGTTAGAATTTGCAATTTGTTATACATTTGTCGGATTAAACAGGTTTCAATTCAAATATAGGTTTAACAATCAAGCATTCTTTATCCTTATGATCCGTCCATACATTCCCATTTATAAAACTTTGCTCATAGGAAGGAAATCTTTTTTTTTTTTTAATTTATTACGACACATTTAATGTACATCTTTTACAAAATACATTCAGTAGAAAAAAAATAATAATACCGATAATGACAATAATTTTTTTGTTTTTTAAAAAAGTTATAAACCAATCCATAGCTGAAAACATAACTATTTACAAGTTTATTAATTGAAGTCAAACATTATTTTAAAAAAATATCTCTGCGATAAAGACTTTTTTAATATGTTAGAAATAATAATAATAGAGAAATAAGAATAAAATGATTGCTTTACGGGTATAATAGCATATTAAAAAAAACAACCCCTTTAAATGATTGGAAATTTTCACGGAAATACAAAAAGAAAAACAAATCTGGTCAATAAGGTTAAATGCCAAAAATTCCTTCGATGGCCTGTCATCTATTAAAAATATAAAAATTAAATCATTGCTTTACACTATAAAACATATTTTTAAAAAACAACCTCTTAAGGTTCATTGATAATCTGATAAGAGAGATAACTCTTAATGACATAAATGTCTATCATTCCTTTATACAATTGTCAAGTTGAAGTGTCTTTTTTCTCCAATATTGCCCAGCAAGCTCTGCTATAATTGTTAGTATTTTTCTTCTAATATACATTTCTTTCGGAAAATCGTTAAGGTTCAAGCAACATATCATATGTGTGAGCAGAGGGTTTATGAACCTTAAAACCATAGGAAATTTTCACGACAAAAAGAAAAAAGTCTGATCATTAAGGTAACATGAGGTTTACTTAATGTCGTCTGAGCATCATTGTGGTCCCTCTCACAGACGTTCCATACTCCACTGTTGGCAACCAAGGTTTGTACCAGTGTGCTGGGGACCAGGGACCGTTAAGGAAGGCAGTGTGGCAGTTGTTAAACCACCAGCCTGCTGTCCAACCAGCAGCACAGTGACCAGTCCATCTGTCATGGTCTCTGTCCGGGGTGGAGAAGTACATCCCAGACAGATCTCCCCCACCTACACCTGTGTAACTAGTGTGTAACATGCCATCTCCTAAAAAATTAAACAAAAGGGATCACAGAGATAATTTTTCCGTTATTCCTTGATCATGACAAGTAGCACACGGCGGGTGTGACCAGTCGGCAGAGGATGCTCACTCCTCAATGGCACTTGATCCCACCTCTGATGTTTCAGGGGTCCGTGTTTGCTCTGCTCTTAATTTGTATTGTTTTATGGACTTTGAGATTGAAAACTGCTCGTCATCTCCATATCATTTTTCTTACATATCTTCAATCTTATTGTTCATAATAATACGGTGGTACTTCTAAGATGGACGACTTAAGGTGCTGGAAAGAACCATAATATATGTTTTTACTAGAATCCAAGTTGTCCATCAAAGTGGTACATGTAGAATTAGAGAAAATATAGAACAGAGAAAAAAAAAGTTATTAATTATTAATTTACATCAAATTAATCTTAATACTGAAGTACGTCTGGGATAAATACCGATACACAGTTATACATTATGTACATGTATGCTGTACAAAGAGGTATTTAAAAAAAACAGAGAACAAAGCACTGCGCGATTCATATATCATCCTTTTTAGTGTGAAAACAAATCCCAGGCGTGTAACCTCAAGAAATATTACACCAATAAAGTATTATATTTTGAGGGAGTGTAAAGGCCACTGGAGATATTAGAAAGCACGAATAAATGTAAAAAAAAAATAATAACATCTGTCACAGACCGTGCCTTTTCAAATACATTAAAATTTATGCTAAGTAAATGATTCAGGATTATATCGATACATGATATGGTGTACATGTAAATGGTTAAGAATGTTGGTATTAGATTTTTTATTAATAAAGCATAAATATTGTAAATATAAAACGATTCGAAGTATTTTGAATTTTGCTATTTACTATTTTTTAATTTTTTGGAATATGTATCTGTTTTTTTTTCAAATGTCATCAATTTTCGTAAACTTTTCTACATTTAGGATTAATGGCGATGTGTAAACTTTCTTTTCCATAGTATTAAATAATTTCAATTATTGAAAACCAGACTGAATTTACATTTAATAAAGAAAAAGTGTAGTAAATATGAAACATTTTGAGTTGTTTGGAATTTTGCATGTTTAATTTGAATACATTTTCCATCAAATAATTTTGTTTGAACATTAAAGGTATGTGAAAATGTCGACAGTATAGATCAATATAGTCTGTTACCTTCTTTTTCCATAGCTGTTTAAATGTTTACTATAAAAAGTTATCAGGAAACTCAAGCTGTATAAAAGAGGTTGAGCAAATGTAATTACTGGATATATTTGTAATAACTGTTTTTTTTGTGTTAAAAATAATTGAACATAATTGTCTTTATATTAAAAATATACAATGTAATACATGTAACAGGTTTTGTTTAAATAAAATATTTACATAGTTTTCTTTGTACATAAAATATATAAATTAAAAGTTTAGCTACTTGACAATAACAAATTCAACGTCTGCTGAATTACTAAATCTTATCTGCAAATTATATTCTGAAATATAAATTATGTTTAATAAGTGTGAAATCAAAAATATATACAATATTTCTATAAAAGACACCCGTATCTCTCTCTTTTTTAAAACACTTTTAAAACTGAGAAGTATAATAATGTAAATTAATGTTATTTAAATAAGACTTTTAGATCCTTATGTGAATGCACTTACTTAAAGTCCCCGTAGCAGGTCCTGCAAGAAAGAGTTGATATTTTCCTGCTTCATCGGAGACAGAGAATCCTCCGTACATTTCATACAGCGTTGTGCCATTCTGAAGAGTGATGGACACATAAAGAGATGGTGTGTTTTCTTTTGTAAGTTGATGGATTACATCATTTCCTGCATAAAAATATATTGAAATCAGCAGAAAAGTGCAAAATCGATTGTGAATGAGCCGCTGGGACCTTTGAAAACTACTTCGCCATATCCGTAATTCCTTATACAGTTGTAAGCGTATAAGAATTTTGCTTTTTATTTATTAAGCTGAGGATCCAAAATGACTCGCTATATCCGTAAAATTGCAATGTCTTAGTTTTTACAAAACGAGTTTTACTGTAATTATATATAAAAAAAAAATATGTATCGGGCGTAATTGAAAATTCAATTATTTTTTTAGCTGTAAACAGTAATGCTACATTTGGTCTGATCAAATTATGTCACTTAGGGATTTTCTTTTCTTTTTTTTTCTATTTTTTTGAGATTTCAATTTAACAGGTTATGTGAAAATTGTAGAACACACATTACCAAGTCTTAATTTCATATCTTTATTACGTTTAATTATTTACCTGCCACCATTTTTTTTAAATTCAAACTTTGGAAGAATAAAAAGTTCCTATTTGGAAGCGATTTACACTTACCAACCCAGACATTCTGTTCCGGTGAACCAAAACCATTTTTGTATTCCGTCCAGTTTCTGTTAAAGCTCAGAGTTCCGTCAACGCGTTTCTGAATGGCCTTTGAAAATAAAAATTCAGAACAATTCAAGTTCATTTATTGCTTCGAACAATCATGGGAACCATATGTTATGATATAAACTACAATACAAACCTTAAAACCAACAAAAAAGTGTGTTATATTAAGTACTTTTAATTCTAAAATAAGTTACATACCGTCCATCCCCCACCCATGGTCGCCATGTCGCAATAGACACTTATTGGAATGGTTAAGGTATTGTAGGGGTATATATCATACACCCCTGTAGTAGTTTGACCATTCTCGTGAAGATCCTTACAATCTTTGGGCATTGCAGAAAAATCTAAATCAGAAAAATACAGAAATCACTATAAAAACTAATACCAAAATCATAACATATACACAAGTAGGGATAGTATACCTTAAAGCTGCATTATATACTAAGGTCAATTATCAAAACTACAATGTAATCTACATTAACAATGAATATTATGTTAAGCTGTTCCTCATTTTCTAACTTCATTTTCTGTTTTTCTTTTATTTGCTACAAATCTCTGACGTATGACATAATTAAAAGTATTTAAAATAAAATCAAATTAGTTTTATTACTCAGTTGATTAAAAGAAATGCTATAGAGAAATGCATTTGTGGATCTGATGATAAATTCATTTGAAATCTGAAACAGATATTTTTAAATCTAGTAAATAGATGATGTATATTTTGTGAATGTATGTGAAATTGAACATTTCATAAATTCTAAGGTTGACACAAATATCAAGTTTTCCAACACAATCTATCGTATCAAATTAAGACTGACGTCTTTTATATATTGTAAGGCCTTTATTTTGACAATGACATGCCCTCGAAGAACCTTTCGTTTTCCAGATCTGGACAGGGAACACACGGTAGATGTGACCGATTGACAGAGGATGTTTACTCCTCAATGGTGCAGGATTTACATCTCAGCTTTGGGGACTGCTTAAAGTGAGCTTTTTTGGATTATTCAATTAATTGAAAGCTATAATTTCTTTTTCTAATGGTTTGGTAACAAAGCTTAAGTGAATACTTAGTATTATTATTAAATACTGAAAAATCATATATTTTTGAGGAGTCAATTCTTCGTGGTTTAAGAAAAATATGTTGGTTCATGGGGACTTGACCGATCGACAGAGGATATTAACTCCTCCGTGGCAGAGGATTCGCATCTCAGCTTTCAAGACTTACGTCAAAAACGTATCAATCCGCCTAACGTTACAATTAAATTCTATACAAATAAAAGTCGTTTTGTTAGAATAATCATCTTTTTTCTTACATCAAATGAATGAGAAATTAAATTATAGGCAATGAATTCAATAGCTACCCATTTTATACGGTATAAACTGGGTTGGAACAGTTTACGCTTTTATTATAAACCACTTCGCGGTTTATAAAGTGTAAACTGCCCCAACCTAGTTTATTTCCTATAAAAGGGATGGCTATTAAAATCATTGCTTAAATTAATCGTAGATAAATTATATTTAAAAAATCAGCAAAAATTGTTAGAGTCATTTATGTTGAAAATGACATTGTTAATTCTCAGAGTAAAGATCGTGTCTCCCCATAAGGGATTATAAAAAAAAGAAGAAAACGGAAAGAAAAAATAACAAATATACATACAGTTATCCGAGTAGTATCTCCAACCGGCCTCATCAGACATCCCAGACGTTACATGTAATCTTTTCTTGTGGGTACGACATTTCTTCAACTGAGAGTTGAAACCAAAGAAGACACACTCCCTTTTACACAGCATGGCACATCTGGCTATTGTATGAGAATAATGTTCTCCTAATAGTCCATAATTTGATTTCTTATCATTAAATTCAAGTTTCGCGGTAAATTCTTTTAAAGTTTCGGTAGCATTTGATAAAGCTATAAAGCCAATAATGAAAGAGGTGATCCATTGATTGCTCATTTTCCTTTTACTTTGATAAGAAGACAACTGCGTACTCGTGAATCAGTGAAAGTCTACCAAGTGGTCTTTCAACAGCCAAATATATATTTTTCGTACCCTAATCAATGCCTGAAAAGTGATTGGCTACCTGTTACGCACTCTATATCTTACTGTTGTTTAAGTATCGATTTTTTAAATTAATATGAATTGTCATAAATATTATTTTGAATTTGCAATTCAATGTATAAAATGAAAAGTAGGCTGTGTTTTCACCTACTTAATGACTGTTCTGATGTGGAAGTTGATTTTCAGTGAACGAAACTCGTAATTGTTTTGTACACCATTGTTTTAATAAAAATTACTTTTAGATTGTACTCTCACGTTTTCAACAGGCCAATCAAAATAGCGATCAAAGAACATCGTTCGCTTTTGCCTTATTTGGCCATGTGAATTTCTGAACAGCTGAAACGGCAAAGTTTTAGTTAACAATACATTGGATACCACTTGGATCTGTAGTGAATTAGTATCTATCAAAACGACTTAATTTTTAGCTAGTCAATTTCTTATCATCACTTCCTTTACTTATGCAGCAATATACCTTCATCACTTGCATACGGAGTATATATATCTCAGATGATTCAATACCCAAGACCATGCTCTATGTATGAACAATTTCTAAAGCGAAGTAAATTATTGACAAACAAGTTGATGAAACAAGTAATAAAGAATTATTTAGACTTTAGAATAGTACATTGTTACTATTACATAGAAAACTGTTTTACATTAACGGTCTGAAACTTTAAAATTTTGCTATTGGGCATATCTTTCATTTTGCTAGATTTCAGAAAGTAACTTTAAAACAACACTAAATTTTTAACACAGAAAGCAGTCGAACAGATTGTAACTAATGTTATCATTTTGTACTATTCCTGTTGTATCAGAAGTACAGACGTTAAATGTTGGAATTATTTCTGTGTCTAGGCAAGGCAGAGAACTACCTGCATAGTCATTGGTACCGGTAGTACAATGAACCTGCAATACATGACGTCTCGTTTGATTATTCCTACCTTATGTAAATCAACACTTAGGTCTACATAATATTCGAACAGAACTTTACTCTGTCCCTTTGAAACATTTAAAAATTCTTCTTGATAAAGGCCAAGGAACGTCCAATTTTAGATTCCTCGTCACCTGAATATAGGCTCGGAGCTGTGATTATGGATATCGTGTATCATAGGCTTCTTAAACCAGCGCCTTTCCATAATATAAATATTATGTTTTTAATTTCATGCTCTTATGAATATAAAATATAGGTTGATCAATAAAAGTTTTACAGATACTAATATGTTTTTTTAATGATTGTGTTGATTTATATTACACTTTTTAATGTATCAATTTATACTGAAAGGATTAAGAAACGCATATTAATTTTTTGAGTTAAATTAAAACAATTATTTCTAATATGTTTTCCACCATTGTTACAATACATTTTAATCAAACTTTATTCAAAAAGTTACCAAAATTTTGTGTGATTTTGAGTGATAATTCCTGAGATATTGATATCATGGTGTCGACACCCCCCCCCCTCCCCAAAAAAAAGAAAATAAAGCTAAAAATTCTCATAATCTCCCTTTCACATCAGTAACAAACTTGATTTTAGTTCACCCGGGGGTAGGGGGGGTCACATTAGGGAATCCGAGTTTTTCATAGATATATTTAGAATATTTTTAAAGAATCTTCTTCTAAAAAATACTGGGCCAGGAAAGCTGAAACTTATGTGGAAGCATTCGGGGGTAGTGTAGATTCTAAAGTATTAAAATCATGATCGTGGAGGGGGTACGGGCATGATACGTAAAGTAAGAAGGGAAATCTGTTAAAGAACTTCATTACCCAAGTTACTCAGGTGAGCAATGTGGCCCATGGGCCTCTTGTTCATATTTGTATTTCTTGTGACAAGACTTTTTTCTGATACCAACAATTTTAACCCTTTGATCTTAACCTTTGAGTTTGACATACATTTGAGAAACTTCAACCTTCGCAATAGGCAGCCATACTGGGGCCTAAGTGTTTCACAAATACATCTTGTCTTCATTATTATGAATTGTGTCTCCATAAACCTTACTGCATTTCTACATGACACCAGCAACCATCTCCCAAAAGATGATAAGGCTACTTAGTAAAATGTAGGAGGAGTTCAGGGAAGACGGGACTTTTTGCATAAAAAACTCAATTTTGACCCCAATTTAACCCCCCAGGACAAAATCAAAATTCGAAAACCTTTCTGCACATCTACATGACACCAGCAACCATCTCCCAAAAGATGATTAGGCTACTGTGTAAAATGTAGGAGGAGTTCAGGGAAGAAGGGGCTTTTTGCATAAAAAACATCATTTTTCGACCCCCATTTGACCCCCCGGGGCAAAATCAAAATTCCGAAACCTTACTGCACGTCTACATGACCCAAGCAACCATCTCCCAAAAGATGATTAGGCTACTTTGTAAAATGTAGGAGGTTTTCAGGGAAGAAAAGTGTGACAGACGGACGGACAAACATGAGTAACAACAATGATTGTAACTAGATGCTGTCATGAGACAGTAATACCCGCACTAAGGTGTTTGCCTCTAAATGCACACTTCTTTAAATTGGGCTTTACCAAGGAAAAAGTCAATATAATTAGATAATTTACATAACAGGGCCTCCATGTATTCATCAAATTTATCATAATATTCTCAAGTGACCATGTGACCCATGGGCCCAAATCTTATAGGTATTTTATATTCGTAATTCATTACCAGTCTGTAATTAAACAAAAGAATTTAATTAATGATGTAAATTAGGTTTGATAAAGGGGGGGGGGGGGTGGGGGTATAAATTTTTGGCACATAATTGGAACATTTGAAATTTATTTTCTCATATAGATCAACAACAAATAATATTATTCAAATTAGTGTAAAGCGTTTTTGATGATTTTTTTTTTCAAAATGTACAAACTTTTTATATTTCATTAGGCAGAAAAACCTTAAAAGCTGCCATATACCCAATCAATTAAGTAAACCCCCACCTCTCTCCCATCCACACACACACACACACACACACACACACAAACACACCCTATTTTCCTGTTTTTGGACATAGGCCTAGATGGCAAAGTTAAGATAAAACATCTTTTGTAAATAATAATTTTAGATTTGTTCTTATACTATAAATGTATCTGAAGACATGCATCACATTGGGCTTGCGTCACGTACCCAACTTAAGCACTAGTTTTACCATTATCATTTTTAGCATTTTTAGATAGCACTGCACTTGCAGTACTAGTGTCGTGTACACATCATTGCACGTATGTCAGTAGGAATTATTTTGTGTTTTAATTGGATTATACTTCAAGTTGACGGGACCTTTGGCAGTCGGTAAATACACGTTTTGGTATAGATTTGGGTAAAATAGTCTGAAATGCAACTGGTTAGGTTAAAGTTTAAAGGATCAAAGGTCATCTGATGTTGCAATAAGACGAATTTCACATTCTGAAGAGTTATCACCCGTTATCGACATAACATTCAGTTACAAGATACAGAATTTTTTTCTGGGAGGGAGGGGGGATTTCCAGACTAGAATTTCCTGAGAAGCAAATAAAAGGAGAAGTTATGGTGGTGTCTGTTTTCTAGGGTGGAGGGCAGCCAAAGTCTTTTTTATTTGCTTCAGTATATTATAGTCCTGCAAATTCGGGGGGGGGGGGGGTCTCCCAATTCACTTCCTGTCCCTGTAAACAATTATGACAAATGATCATGTGACTCCTAAATAGTAGGAAACTTTTTCCATTTGACTATACATAATTTTGCTTTTTGTGTTATTATGTTATGTAAAGTTAATGGTATAAAGGTTTTGAACCCCCTTGGAGGTCATTCCCACTCTCCTAATGATTCTAACTGGAAATGTTCACAATATGACTGTATTAAATTAAATAAAAGTGCATCAATGATAAGATTGCTTAACATTTTATTCATCAACCTATCCTCCTAGAATTAGGAATGAAAATCCTAAAATGGACCACATTAAAGTATTTGTATATAGGCTATTAACATTTTTTTAATGTAAAAACAAGTAGTAGTTTGCATACATGTCATGAATAAACATGGGTCTGGGAAGGGGTGAGGGGAAAGATCGAGTTCATGTCTCTTTACGTCTTAATGGTTGAAAACTCCTAAAATGAATGTTGACCTCAAATCTGACTTGTCATCATTATTTTTCAAGTGGTGTCTCCATTTGAGTGAAAAATTCCTGAGAGGGATGTTTAACAACAAACAAAAAAATTAATGACATAAAAACACAATATTGATTTGCGTTAAGACATATGCAGGGGATTTTTTCCATCATAAATCTTCTTCTCAAGAACAGCAAGGGCATTATTGTCCCCCGTTTTGGGGAAAAGGGAGGGAACATTAAATCTTATTTGTCTGTCAGTCTTGCCATCTTTGACAGTATGTGCATCTGTCAGAATAAATTTAACCTTGGTCATAACTTTTGAATAATAAGAGATAGGGCTTTCATATTTCACATATACATTCACCACAAATTTTCTAAATGTACTATGAATTTTTAACCCTAGTGAGACCTTGACCTTAAAATTTTACCTACTTTCCAAAAAATAACATTTTAATTTAATCATTTTGAAAGAGAAAAGATATGGCATTTAAATTATACATGTATATTACATGTGAAAAGACTTTTCTAAATATATCATGACTTTTGACTCTGTGACCTTGACCTAGAAGTGTAACCTACTTTTCAAAAATATTATATTATACATTTATTGCATGACAGTGAGGAAAATATGATGACTTATTCAGCCAAGAAAATCATATTCCCCGAGGGCTTCGCCCTCGGGGAATATGATATTTCTTGGCTGAATAAGTCTTCATGTTTCCCGAACATTCATGCAATGAATTGTTTATTATACCGAAACAAGCAAAATCGTTTTAGAAATAAACATAAACTTTCAAATTTGGCACCGCTCTAAAAT